TTTATTGAAGAATCATATTTTATTTATAAAGATTTAATTATATTATAATTAAAGGTAAACCTTGAAAATTTAAGTAAGTAATTATCATTAGAAAATAATTATTTTTTCTCATTTATCTTGATTAATAATTACAAAATCAATTCCTATATAAAATAAACTGAATATAAAATTAAACATCTATTTTTTTATGTATATTATTTTATATACTTTTTTTTCATTTTCTATTTTATCTCTTTATACATGATATAATTAAAAATATAAATTTAAATAAATGGAGGCGTCAAGTTTAAAAATGAATATTATTAATAAATAAATTATTTTGAAAAAGAAAAATATTTATCAACTTTAATATTTATTTCTAACATGAAAGTAATATAAATTTTTAAATTTTATATATTTATACTTATAAATGTATAATTATTTATCAATATTTAATAAAAAATAATCATTTTTTAAAATATAATTAAATTAATAATTTAAGGAAAAAAATGTCACATTTTACCTCGTCTTTTTCTATTTATATATGTACAAATACGTATTAAACTTTTGTCATTTAATTTTTGTATTTTTTTCATTACCTTTAATGTCTTTTGAAGAAAAATAAAACTTTTAAATATTTAATACTAAGAAAATCATGTTAAAATTAAAAATTGTCGTTAATTGAATTTTTGAAGAGTTTAGTTTTAAAGTATAATTTAATGGGAAATATTAGACACTTTTAAATGAATAAACAATTATTTACTTGCATATAATTACCTTTTGTAATTTAATGAGAAGCAAACATATTTCAAAACAATTTAATTTACTTATTCATTATCATTAATAAAACCAAGTTTTCATTTTAATGAATATTTATAGTATTATTTTGATGATTATATCATATAGTGGTATTATGATAAATTTTGTGCAAGATATTATGTATCTCCATGGTTCATATATTCCTTGATCACATTTATTATGATTTTAAAAATTATATAGAAAAAAATTTGTTGATTATTTTTATCTTTTTACCTTCTTTATTTTAACAAATATTAGATTATTTGGTTTTACACAAATTACTCACACAACTACCTAACTATCTTATAAGGACATAATCAATAAGTGATATTTCAATCAATCTTCTTTCTTCATTAATAATCTCCTCATTTTTTATGATGGTTAACTAGTAAAGCATACAACATTTTTCAGCAACCTTTTCAATAAACTCTTCTACAATGAGCATAGTAAAACAACAACCCTTTCAATAAACTTTTCTCCCCCTTTGGACTCAATAAAAAAAGGTTAAACATAGAGTTGGAAGAATAATAACATAACCAAAAGAAATATAATGTCAGATAAAAAAATTATATCAAGTATTAGTAGTTACAAACCAACAAATTAATATGTCAAATATTACAATGCAACAAAAAAATTGTTCAAGCAAATTTAAACATATGATTAAAGAAATCATATTAATAATTTATCATCATTTGAAAATAGCTCAATTGTTCCGTCTTCTTCACCATCACTTCCTTCATCTTTCATTTCTGTGCCACCTTGTTCTTATTGTAATATGGATAGATAGAGGATACTTGATCATCCAAACCGTCAAATCTGGAGCAGTAATACTCATACTTCTCTTATTGCCAAAGATGTATTTTATCTAATTTCTCTAACATACTCTATTCAAAAGCAGTAAAATTATTTCTAGCAGAGGAGACATGAATGTCTACATTTATGGGTTATACTCCTTCATCAATAAATTATTCCTCATACTCTATTCAAAAGCAGTAAAATTATTTCTAGCAGAGGAGACATGAATGTCTACATTTATGGGTTATACTCCTTCATCAATAAATTATTCCTCATCTTTGAAGAACCAACCATCACCATCCTCATGTGGTGAAGAACAAATTTTCCTATTGCATTTGCATGACTCATGATGATAAATGATTTTCTCTCCATATTTACACCAACATACTAAAAAACTCTTGTCAAAAAAACAAAATAAAGTAATGGATACAAAGGTAACCTATATGATTTCCTCATATTATCACTAACAACAGCAGACCAATTAATCTAAAATCTTGATTTGAGAGCATGTATTATATACATGTCTTTAGAAGTTAGTTGAGCATGATTGCTCCCCCTAACAACAACAACCCAAGTAATCACAAAAGCAAACAACCTTTTATCTTTTCTCATTCCACCAATTTTATAAATAGAATAATTTCTAGTAGTGTTTGGGTAGGTTCCTAAGACAAGATCTAAACATAACTAGCTTATTAAAGTTTTCGAAGCCACTAGTAACATTTTCTCCTCCTATTCTAAAACCTACAACATTTGTTCATATTTCCTCATTTAGGACTATTTCTACCCCTTTAACTCTAGATTAGATAACTCTATTGACAGTTTTCAAATTGCAATAAAAAACTTTGACCAAGCCAGGGTAAAACATCTCATTCATCTCAATGAATTTTTCTAGGCCTTGGTATACTAACAAATCTTAGAAATAGAAAACCATTGTTTCTAAAAAAATGAGTTAGAAAGATTCTTATAAGTAATGAGTCTTCTTTATTTCCAATTAATGAGAAATTTCTCCCTCTATTCATCATCATTGACCCATCCTTTTGCGAAAGCAGTTCTTGGAGGTCTTTTGGAAGTTTTTCTCTTCATTCTTTTAGTTTTGTAGTGGAAGTCATTAGATCAGAGTAATAAGAATAAGATTTGGAAGAAAATGAGTCACAAGAGAAACTCTATGAGCAATGAAGGTTATGGTTTCGAAAGAGAGGCTTAAAGGAAGATGAGAGAGTGTGTAGATGAAGTTGGTAAAGTGTAATGTGTAGAGGATTTAATTGAAATAATTTTATACGTATGATAATCGATTATATAAGTGGATTTATATGCATACCAAATTTTAACCAGAGCAATTTATATGCAGTATGCCTATTTCATTTCTAATAGTATAAAATATTTCCCTAAACAATGGTTTAGTAAAAATATGTGCTTATTGTTGCTTTGTGTCACTATATTCAATTTTACAATCCTCTTTGATTACATGATCCCTGACAAAGTGATGTCTAATTTCTATATGTTTTGTCTTATAATGTATAATTGGATTCTTGGTTAGATTTATGACACTAGTGTTATCACATTTAAGAGGAATATGTTATAAATGTATATCATAGTCTTCTAACTGATTCTTAATCTAAATTGATTGAGCACAATAACTACTTGCAGATATGTATTCAGCTTCAGTAATAGATAATGCAACACATGCTTGTTTTTTAGAATGTCATGATACTAAAGAATATCCCAATAAATGACAGGTTCCACTAGTAATTTTTCTATTTATTTTGCATCCCCAAAATTTGAATCACTATAACCTGTTAAAACTAGTTCAGCTCTTCTAGGATACCATAGACCAAGATTTATTGTACCTTTTAAGTATGTCAAAATCCTTTTTACAACACTTAAGTGAGATTCCCTAGGAGCAGATTGAAATCATGCACAAACACACTATGCATGATATCAGGACGACTAGATATTAAATATAGGAGTGATCCAATCATATCTCTATACATAGTTTGATTAACCAACTTAGCATTTACATAATTGTCTAGATAGCAGTTTGTAGCCGTTGGGGTTGTGGGGAGTATTTCTTCAATAATTCAGCATAGTACTTGGATTGATGTATAAATATTCCATTTTTAGCTTGTTTGACTTGCAAACTAAGAAAAAAATGTAAGTTCACCCATCATTGACATTTCAAATTCCTGTTACATGTTAATTGAAAATTCTTTGCACATAACAAAATTAGTAGATCCAAATATAATGTCATCCACATATATTTGTACAAATAACAAATTCTTATCAGTTTTTTTAATGAATAAGGTTGAGTCCACCTTACCTCTATTGAAGTTGTTTTTAATAAGAAATTGACTTAACCTTTTATACCAATATCTGAGAGCTTGTTTCAATCCATAAAGTACTTTCTTCAATTTAAATATGTGATCTGGAAATTCAAAATCTGTGAACCCAGGAGGTTGTTTGACATATACTTCTTCTTTGATAAAGTCATTTAGAAAGCGTTTTTAACATCCATTTGATATAGTTTGAAAGTTCAATGTAGATGCTATAGCTAGCAGAATTCTGATTGCTTCCAATCTGGCTATTTATGCAAAAGTTTCATCATAATCAATACCTTCTTCTTCACTCTAACCTTTAGCCACCAACTTAGCTTTGTTTCTCACAACACATCCAGTATTATCCAATTTATTCCTAAACAACCATTTAGTTCCAACAATTTTTTTTAGATGAACTTCTAAGAATCAATTCCCAAACATCATTCCTTTTGAATTGATTTAATTCATCTTGCATTGCCAGAAATCAATGTTTATCTTTGAGTGTTTCTTCGACAGATTTTGGTTCTTCTTGAGATACAAAAGCTATATTCATGCAAAACTGAGTAAATTGTCTTATGTTTGACACTCTAGTTGATATATCTCCAATCACGTATTCTAAAGACAATCATCTTGGAGATTTTCATTCTTTTGGTAGTTTATCTGTTTTTTGTTATTCATCTTTTTCTTGAATGATATGTGATTCTTCTGTTACTTCTTCTATAACTTCAAGATTAACACTTTTTCTAGACTCATATAATATGTCTTTAACAATTTCATCAAACATAGCATGCATGGATACAAGGTTTCATCATTTACCTTTTTAATTTCCTTACCCGCTATTTATAGAAGCTATGACAAAAATACAAGCTCAACACAACTACAATAATGAGAAACAAAGGAAAGGAAATAAAGAAGATAATGCAAGAGAAAGGACAACCAAAAAGACACACCTAAGTAGTAAATGACTAACCAAGTGCAAAGGCCAAATGACGATACAAGATGCAAAGGAAAAAACACAAGGAAAAAATGACAATGAAAAAGGGTGAAAAGGACGGAGGATGAGAGATAAGTGAACTAGACACAGGGACAAACAGTGAAGTGAAAGGACAGAAACAATCAAGAATCCTGGGACATAATAACACATAACAAGAATCAAACTATTTAATGGACATAATAATAGAAACTTAAGACTCTAACTAGGGATTCGTAATTCAATGCATAACAACACGTTAAAATGGACTTAAAATTAAGATACCATCATGTTTTTACTTAAATCATATATAATCAAAGTCTTAATAATGTTTTATTTCATACCAACTTGGCTTTTTATATTTTTTATAAAGGACCTATTTTTAAAATGGATATTTTTTCTTTTGTTTTTTTAAATTTTCTATATTTTTTTATTATTAATTAAAAATGAAGCATAAATTACATTAAAAAAATGTAACATATAATTGAGTTTTAAAAGTCTAATCATTAACTTGTCATTCAAATTTTTAACATATGTGACGATAAAATATGTTAAAAATTAAAGCCAACATATATATAAGAAGGCATTGTCAACTTAAATTAACTCTTTGAATTTTACATAATCAAAATCATTGCATAATATATTTTAAGTTAACAATGGGATTAAAATTGCCCACATTTTACAACCATCGAGCTGTTAAAACTATGGCTACTAAATTCCATTTTAAATGTAAAAAGTAAAATAAAAAAATTAAATTATTCAAACTTATTTTTTTCGCATTAAAAAGACCAAAACTCGGATTTTTTTTTTAACTCGATTATACCATTTTTAATGCAGTTTATACTTTATTAAAAAAAATGTAAACACATCACAAATATGCCAAACATTATAATGAATATCTCAAACTTGTAGTCTTTATTCCTCTCTCTCTCTCTTTTTTTTTTTTCTGTTTTAATAACTTTCTTTTTCGGTCTTTTTTTTTAATATATTTAAACGTTCCTAGCTTGTGTTTGGAGTAATCCTGTTTGTTTTAATAGAAATCTGTTGATTTAAAAATAAATAAATAAACATCCTATAATATTATCTTTCTTCTCTATATTGAGAAAATTTGAGAATAAAAAGATATCATTTTTTATTTTTCGTAATTACTCTTTATAATTTAAAATATATTATATTATCAAAAAATTTTATTAATCAATTTTAATAAAAAAATATTTTAAATAAAATATTATATATATATATATATATATACATATATATATATATACAAAATTATACTATAATTTTATTAGTTTTTTTAAAATTTAATATTACTTATAAAGTATTATAAAAATAAATTATAAAATATAAATATGTTTATAAAATTTTAATTTTTTTATATAATTTTAATTTAATAATATATTTTTATTTTAATTTATACTTATTTTTATTAAAATTTATAATAAAAATATTTTGATTATTTATTAATTAATCTTATTATTTAATTCTTTAATCAGTTATTTTAATATTATTTTTTATAATCTTTTTACTTATTTATATTTATTTTTTATTTTATTTTTCTTAATTTAAATAATTTTTTTACCTTTTAAAATTTACTTCTCAATCCAAGGACTGTCTTAAATTTCTTTCCTGTGAGATTGATTTAAATATTAGTCATTCCTTTAGATACTGTTATAGCTCATCCTTTTAATTTCTACTACCAACGTGCTAATAACAACATATTTTCTACCAATTATTTAAATTCTATGACAAGGTGTAAATATATATATATATATATATATATATATATATATATAAAAGAATTTGTTTTATATCAATTTTTTATTAAAAATATATTATAGTTAAACAAAATCTTATGATTTATATATTTAAATAATAAAAATATAAGAAATATAAAAAAATGAATATATTTAAAAAAAATGAAAATAATATTTAAAAAGAAATTAATTAAAAAATATAAACAAACATTTTAACATCTATGTTTGCATTAATATATAATAATAATAATAATAATAATAATAATAATAATAATAATACTTTTACTATGATCTTATTTTATGATACATATAATATATTGACATGATAAAGGCATGGGATAATTTGGTAGATTATCTTAAAAAATTGTGTGATTTGTGTCGTGAAATGTTTTTATTTTAAGTTTAGCCTAGTGCTAATCAATGAGTATTATTTGTTTGTTTTAAGAAAAGATAAATAAATATATATTTTAAATTATATTAATAAAATAGATTTTTATTTAAATAAAATAATTTGATATTAATTATAATATTTATATTTTAAAATATAAATATTAATTTTCAAACTAAACGTATAAAATAAGTTAAATCCAAGTCTAATTAAGTCACAAATGAGATGAGTTGAATTTCAATTTAAATGAATTTTCTTAATTAAATTTAATCAGCCAATTTTTAAACAATTAAACATGATAAAGGGGTGGGGAAAAAGCCATAAACGTTGAAGGCGGCGTGAAAAGGGATCAAACCCATTTGCTTTGGGCAAATGAAAGCCATCGCTTCTTTATTTTCTGCTTTTCTCTTTCTCTCTCGCTCTCCCTCACGTCATCCACATCCTTTCCCTCTCTCTCCATTTCTTGCTCATCATTCCACCCTTCTCCTGAGTCATCTGCCACCTGTCTCCACCCCCTTCCCCCTCCTCTCCTACCCATTTCCCTTTCTCTTTATACTTTTCTTCTCAAATCAACTCCAACTTCCCCCATCTTATGCTCTCAGTAACACACGCCTCAATGCATCACTATCTTCTCACATTCACAAAGTATATACCCTTGTTAAGCTTTCTTATAAAGTGGTCACATTTTTTAATCATACAAATACCCATTGACCGTCTCATATTATAACGTAATTAAACTTACATCAATCACACTTAATTCTACTTTAAACTGAAACTGTTATGAAGAGGTATTCATTTTTTTATCTGATTAAACATATTAATTTAGTAAATACTTATTAAATTCTTAAATATTAACTGGGCTATCTCTGATTCATAAAACTGAAGACACCCATCACAGAAGAAAGATATACAATTTTATGTGAAATGTTATTATATTTGTTAAAAACAAGGTATTTATTAAACTTCAACATTATTTAGCAGATAATAATGGTGCTAGTCCGGTTTGCATTGATTGTCATTTATGTATTCAAATATCAAGGAATAAATAATAATTGAAAGTTAGTTTTTATTCTGAAAATATAATTGTTTGTGAACATACTAAAATGTTAAAACGAGGAAAACAAGAAACCAAGTGATACGGGAAGGATTTTAAATTGAACGTAGGGTCACATGTTTGAACGCAAATGAGAAGCAAAGAGAAAAGGTAACGCTTTTTTCAAAAAATAAAAAAGGTAATCTTTTTTAAAAGGAAAAGACTTTGCAATAGAAAAAGCGAGAGGGAGGAGAAAAAAAAAAAAGATTTTTTTTTTTATTTAATTTTAATGTAAGAAAACAGAAGAGGTGGTACCATAGTGTATTGTGTCCTTGATGCCTCACGTTGTTTGTGCTTTTTGCAGGGTGGGACTTTTTCCCCAGAGGGATTTTAGTGCAAGTGTGATGTCTGTCTACACTTGAAAAGTTGTCTTGTGTGGAAACAAATTCAGAAAGAGAAAAAAAAGCCACTTTTTTGTTTTTTTTCTTTTTCTCTGTAAAATATTTGATTTTCTTTTTTCCCCTGCTTCTGTTCTATGTAATGGGTGTTGGAGGTGCTTAGTTTCTAAGTGTGCAACACAATCACCATCGACATGTCTCAGACAGAGAAGGATCCGGGTATCAGGTTATTTGGCAGGAAGATTCCGCTGCCGGAATGTCAGATTCCGGCCAACTCAGGACCCATGGTACATACTTATTTATTGTAGCCAAAGATAACTATTTTAGTTCTTTCTTCATGAATCATGTTTTTTGTGTTTTTGTTCATTGTTTGTATAAATGGGTTGGACGTAAATTTAGATTTTATATTTTGTTATGTTAGTTGTGTCTTCATGGAGTTTTTTATATTTTAGTATGTTCTGGTTGGTTATAAATGAAGGGTGGTGTTTTTCTCTTAATAAATGAAAGCTTTTGTTAGGCTTAATTCAGAATATTTGTGTGTGCATTTTTCAGGTTTAGAGATTAGATTTGTTTAAACAAGTTAAGGCGGTGTTCAGAGGAGCAAGTTATTGTTCATACTAAATATAACTTTGAACTTGTTTCATTTTGAATTGGAGCATCTTTAACTATTGGTTTCGTTGTTGTTGGTGTGATTGAAGCTGTCTGTTTCATCTGAAGAATTTGGTCCTCTTCTTATTGTTAAAGACATTTTAGACACTAATTTCCTAGGTGTACTTTCTGGTGGTTTCTTTTGGCATTTACGCACAATAATTGCTTTGGGCCTTTATACTTAAATTATGTAAGTCTTGCTTCTAACTGTTGAAGAGTATGAATTCATTTGAATGTTTATGCTCATGTTGTATGGAATAAACTTAATTTGAGACATGGGTAATACATAGGACAGGGCATGATTATCCAAAAGAACTAAAGATCGTGACTTACAAAATAGATGCATATTGATTGTCTGCTATGCGGTCTTTTGTGTTGTTTGATGGAAAATGAGTATAACATGATCATTTTGTATCTCTTTGCTTTTGTTTCTTTGTCTATTCTTAGGGTATGCTATTAGTTTTGGTTCTGCTTGATTTATCTGACTGGTTTGAACTATTAGGATGCTTGCAGCAACATAAAAAAGGCAGAACTGGAAATACCCAGTGAGTGTGGAGAAAACTCTGAGAAACAAGAAAATACGTCTGATTCAAGGGATTGTAAACAAGAGTCCCAACATAAAGTGAAGGAAAATGAACCAACAGTAAATCCCAAACCAGTGGAAGATAATACGGAGAATGGTGGCTCAGATCAAGATAAAGTCTTAAAGAAACCCGACAAGATTCTTCAGTGTCCACGATGCAACAGTTTGGACACCAAGTTTTGTTACTTTAACAACTACAACGTTAACCAACCTCGGCATTTCTGCAAGAATTGTCAAAGGTATTGGACTGCTGGTGGAACAATGAGAAATGTTCCCATAGGTGCTGGGAGAAGGAAGAATAAACACCTAGCATCTCAATACCGACATATTATAGTAACCTCTAATGGAATTCCTACTTCCAGATTAGAAACTGAAGACACATCTGGTTTCCAACATGTCACAAGTCTTGAATCCTCAGTTCCTTTCAGGTCTTCAACAGATAACAGCACTGTTTTGAAATTTGGTCCAGATATCCCTCTCTGCGAATCTATGGATTCAATGCTTAATCTTAGAGACCAGAGAAGATGTGTTGATGCAAGTTCTGTAAACTGTGTTGAGTATGGAGGGGAACCATCGATATGTGGATCATCTGTGACGAATAACGGTACTCAAGGAAATGAATTATCAGAGCAAAAGACATCAAATTGGTTACAATGTTACCCTGTTCCTCCATGGGTATTACCTTATCCAGGTTGGAATAATGTGAGTTCCATGGAAGCAGTTCATCAGTCTTCAGCACCAATGTGTAGTCCACCATACAACACTGGTCCTGCAGCAATGCAATGGTGTCCAGCGCCAGTGGTGGGAATTCCTGGTATGTGCCCACCAAGCATTCCTTTGCAACTTGTACCACCATCATACTGGAGTGGAAAACCACTTTGGAATGCTGGAACTGGGGCAGTGTCTATAGGATCCAATGCTTGCCTTTCGCCATCTTCCTCCACTAGTAACAGTTGCTGCTCAGGCAATGGCTCCCCAACCCTTGGCAAACACGCAAGAGATACGATTTTTGCTGATGAAGAGAAATCAGAGAAGTGTGTTCTGGTTCCAAAGACCATTAGAATTGATGCCCCAAATGAGGCCTCAGAAAGTCCTCTAAGGGCTTCTTTAACTATCAAGCCTGATCAACAGCAATCTGTATTAGATAGTGGTATTTTGAAGAAAGTTGAACCAAAAGAAGGCAAAGATCGTATATTGGGCGCCTCTCAAATCTTGGAAGCCAATCCAGCAGCTATTTCTTGTGCTCATACATTTCAGGAGAGCACATAGTAATTTTCTAGCTTCAAGTTTCCCATTGCCATTTTTTAGTCAAATGAGCTAGTGCTTTCACTAGCAGAAATCTAATTTGCAGGTAGCATTATTGTGTGATTTTCAATGGTGTACTTAATCTATGTTCTCTGATAATGATGATTTTTGCCTTTACCTCAATAAACAAAAAATTGATAGTGATTACTTCCTGCAGCAACACTCTTCATTTAAGGCAGTGTATATAGAACTGAAGGAATGTTATGAATTTATGTGGTCCATGTCCATTGGTTTGAGTTGGATGAGTAAATGATTCAATTCTCTGTAAAAATACAATGATGAAATGTTGTGATTTTGATTCCTTTTCTCAATTTAAGAAAAGAGCAGTGCTGAAAAGAGTTGAAATATATACTTTCTAAGATTATTAAGTAAAGCATTATCTTATAGGGGGGGAAAGTCATGAAATTATAGTATCAACAGTTGATCATGTAAGAAGTCTCCTTTACGTTGGTGAAGTCATTATCCTTTTTCTTTTGGGGGGACACTACCCTACCTCGTTTTCTTTGTATTTTAATTGTCTAGCGAGGAGCATGTCATAATTGGAAATGCTTTGAAGTGCAGTTCTAACCAAGCAAAGACTGAAGGTCCTTTTTTGCAAGTGCTTTTACTTTATCACTTTTCCCCATCTTTCTTGGTGCCATTTATCTTGTTTACTTAACCAAAGTTTGTATCTGTCATAAAAGCCTTGTTTCAAGGCCCTACTTTTTACAATGAAAAGATCCCTTTACCAAACGAATAGAGGTATCTTCTTTTTGGTAACGCAACCTATGGAATATATGCTTTTTTGACTCATGTCTAAAGAATGACTCAAATGGTCCTTTTGACACCAGACATTATTTTCACCAATGGAAGAAAAATAATCAAACTTATATTTCTCCAGCCTGTTTGTTTGTAAGTAGTGACCATTTCTTGTTTATCATCATCAATCATGACGGGCCTTCTTTTGTGATCTCAAAATATATTTGGCCTGCACTGCCTTCAATTTTTGAGTGATAAGTTTAGAATCCAATATTTTGGCATAGAAATAGGCCTCTTTTTCCTGACGTTTGGCACTTAGTCAACGCAATGACTGGCTTCTGATAGCCAACCCTTCACTTAATCAGTCAGTTTAGGTTTTTACAAGAAAATAAGGGGCAAAAAAAAAAAGGTCATTTTTTTTATTTTAAAAATAATTTAGACATCTTAATTTATTTATAAGTTAGTCAAAAGGACTTTATATAAAGATAAGGGGTATCAATTGATTTTAAAATAAAAGATTAATTACTGTATTTTATCTTTTTTTTTCCCCTAAAATTTCTTTTCAAAATGTTTTCATTGAATTGTGGAGTATATATTGTGAATAAAATAAAATAAAAAATGATATTGTTTAGATAGAGAAAAATGAAAATATGTATAAATTTTTAATTGATTTTATTAATTAAAAAATAAAATAATTATTTTATTTAAAATTTCATCAAAATAAATATAAATTAGAAATGAATGATGATTAAATATAGCATGATTCTTTTTTTAAAATTAAAAATAATATTAAATTTATTTAAAAATAGTTTTAAATTATTTAAACATTAACTACATATTATATACACATTTTTGTTTCACATAACAAGTAAAAAAAATTTAAAACATGATAAAAAGATTCAAAATAAAAAAAATAGAAACTACATATTAAAGTTAGACATATAAAATATAAATAAAAAAATAGTATTAGTTTTTACTACAATATTAATATATTTAAATAAATTAAAAATATTTTACAATAATAAGAAAAACATAAACATATGTCAATAATACTTAACCAAATATGAGTGGGAACGTTAATCTACATGCAACAAACATAATATATAAAATTAGTTATATTACTTATGGTGACCCAAATAAAAAAGTTAATAAAAAAGTGTGAAAGAAAATATTTAATAAAACTTTTAATGAATTTGATAAAAATCATGACCAATATTTAGGTCAAAATGTTCTAACTTTGTTGGAGTACCCAAATACCACTCCATATTTAGATAACCATATTATCATCATGATCAATATATGTTTATGTTCCTTGAACTCCCACATCTTCATTTGTACGACTTTCTCTTAGGGCTTATCTTTTTAGGCACCGTTACATGTTTCATGCACAATTAATATTTATCACATTTTAAAAAAATTTCATAAACTTATTTGATAATCTAAATAATTGAATTTGTTGTAATCAAATTATCTTTTATTAGAATACGAGTAATAAGATTGAGATAATCTATAATTATTGTATTTTCATATGTTGTTGATAAGGTCAATTAATATGAAATTTTTATTTTATATATCATATTATGAAAATATTATCCATTAGCTGTGCATTATCCTAAAAAGTCAATATATATATATATATATATATATATATATATATATATATATATATATATATATATATATATATATATATATATATAATAGTCAATCACCCATGGTAAATCAATCAATATTTTTACAAGTATATTCCTATAATTCTAGTCCAATCAAAGCCAAAAATCTGCCATAGTTAAGATTTATCATAAATTTCAAAAATATTAAGCTTATGAACCTAATATTTCAAATGGGACGCAATTACATAATCATCGGTATTAAACGGTTTCAAACTTGTACTAATTTCTTTGATGAGATAATTGTAGTAGATCCATGTTTGTGATAGAAATTTATTTAAATCTTAAAAAACAAAAAACAAAAAAACTAAAGAAATTGAAAACTAGTGGTAACAAAGAAATTGAACTCCTTTACCTTTGATTTGGAAAATAGTTATACCTGCAAAATCACCAACATATTTTAACATTTGAACATTTGAGCGTTGGTATTAAAATAATGATTACGATCTAAAAAGTGCTCTAAAGAAGAAATGTTTGTAACAGGAGTTGGTTTATTACCTTGAATGGGTTTTTTTAACTTTTTTTTATACATGACATATCTTTGCTTTTTGCTTTTAATAATGGTATGACAACTTAAAACCTTTTTTTTAATTAGTTAATTATTTACATAATATGTGTTTAATCTTACAACCTTATCATGTAAAGTTAATAATCAAGATGAAACATTTTTCATAATTCAGAAACATATCTTAACAGGAACTACAAAAGTTGATCCTATGTAGTAGGTCACAAACTATAAAAAACTTCACATTAATCAGAAATCAATTCAATTTATTGAAGCCATTTTTAGAAGATATGTAGATGGTACTACCAAAACAATCTTCAAAAATATCAACCCAAGTTCAAATATCTCCATATTCTAATCAATGATGATATTGCCTGTCACCAAAGAAAGCAAAATTCTTATTGCAAGTATTTGTCCTAACAGAAAGCCTATCTTCATAGATAACATTAATAAGCATTTCATATGGGATGCAAATCATGAAATGTGACTCTGATTGTGATTGTTGTAATCACACTAGAGATTATAGTGACAAGGATGATGATGACTCGGATGAGGATGATGACTATGGAGGAGGATCATATAAACTTCCTTTCTCTCCTAACAAAAGGTTTGGACCTAGAAAAGGTCAATAGACTGGACTTCATCACTAAGAGAAACTAGATCCTATGTAATATGAACGATATGTTGAGATCCTCGAAAAAGAAGGTCTCCTACTTCCAAAACAAAACAAGTGTAGAACCTCTACCGTGCCACCTTTTATTGCTCATTTTATTACATGCATGATGATTAACCCTACATCCTATAAAGAGGATTTTACTCTTCTTAAAAGGAGTATTTATCCCATGTCCAAAATGACAACGAAACCACATGTTCTCTGTCAAGAAGTTGGACCCGATGAAAAAGCAAAATCATTGAGCCAAGATGAGGAAGTATTGAACTGACAAACTGAAAATACTAAAACCCAAAACTCCATCTTACAAAGAATTGATAAGAAGATGGACAAACTCTCTACACACCTTGAGGAAACTGATGAAAAACTCCAGCATCTCAACTCAAACCTAAGAAAGTATTACAAACAAATTTCCTCATAACTCTCCCAGCTAGAAGAAGACTGAATTTTTGGAGAATTATCTCACACCAAAGAAAAAAAGATTAGAAGATTTAAGGCTCAGATCCAGGAGATGAATAATTACATCGAGACAAAGGTCGAACAACACAAGATTGAGAAAGATCCTTATCCTTCCCTATTTACTTCAACTTCGATGTACTCCTTTTTCTAGAACCTATCTCCAATCTTCCATCAACCTACACAGTCTTTTTGGTCTTTACCTACAACCACTACCTATAGGCCATGACCCAAACTAAAAGGATTAAAGTCGATAAGGGCAAAATAAAGAAAACCAGCACATCCTCCCAAGAATCTTTTCATGAAGTTCTACCTTCACCAAAAAGGCAAACTCATCAAGATCCATTTAATCCCATTTTTCAAGACTCTCAAGATTCATATTCACAAATGACCATAGAACCTCGTCCTAATCTAACTCCTAAGAATTCCTACAATTGTTAAAGAGTATTCATCTAAAGATTCAGAAACAGAACATGCCAGTTATGCACTTAACCTAAATTCTGATAACCAACACCTCTAAATCAAATGTCAAACATGAGCCTCCTTATGATTCTTTTGATGAAGAAGTCAACTCTAACCAAAACAAAACAAATACCTCTTTAAAGCCTAATGGAAGATCTTAATTTACTATTGACCATATTCCTCCAAGTCAGTGGAGAGTTAGGATAATTGAATTTGGAGCTTGGTTAGATACTAAGATGGTTAAGGACTCCAATTCTTACAAGGTTATTCTGAAACCTTGAATGAATAGTACCATAATCTGGGAAGTGTTAGACAAAACCAGTCCCATGAACTAGGAGAAACTTTAGGAGCACTAGGAGAATTACTTAAAGAATCTATAGGAGATGACTTGACAAGAAACTCAAGCAAGAATTCTTTGAAATGAGATATTTCACAATAAAGATCAAGGATTTGAAAAAGTGCT